GGGGGGGGGGGCGGATGGGGCAGCCAACACTCCCAGCAACTCGGAGAGTGCACTGGGCGATCTGGGCAGGACCCAGCAGCATCTCTCAGGGAGGTTCTCTGCTGCTTTTTAAGGTTACATAAGAATATTTATATAACAGAAAGGTATGTGGCAAGACCATGTTATTTTATGCTTTTCAGGTGTTCTCTGGGAAGAAGTAAGAGGAGATTTGAACTAGCCCCAAACTAGTGAAACTCACCTCACAGCCTTAATTGCTTTGGCTGGAGCAAGAGCATAATTACAGGATAGAAAAGTTTTTTAGCCATTTGGCAAAAATGAAGCAATCCTTAAATTCTCCTCTTGCTGAGAGTAAGAAGAAATCAGATCTTTTGCCCAAAGCAAAGGAAGAGGTGCTTCCTATAAGCCCCCTCCCCCCAGCCCAGCCTGTGAAATAGTGTTCAGAAATCAATATTACAGAATTCTTGGTTTATTGGTTCTTCTACAAAATCCTCAGTGTGTTTTTATTTTTCCTTTGAGTAGGCAACTTGCTCAATTAGCCTCGCTTCAAACAGATCTCTTTTTTTACCTTCTCACCTCATTACTTCAGGTGAAATAGAATCAAGCTGCTTTGTGCCAAGAAATCCTCTTTAACCCGAGTTAACTGATAGCAGGGATGGGGAAATATGCCAACTCTCTCTCTTCTTTTTTGAGTCCTGGTTTATTGTAAGCACACAGTCAGCTTATGGGTTATGTTCTAAGGTGTGATTTGAAATACTTTTTAAAAATATCTACATCACTTCCAAATTTCCATATCTCCAGATTTGTAAGTGCCTGGTGGGATGTTTGGTTAGTTATCAGATTTCTCATGTTTGATTTCCCTAGAAGCTGCTGACTGCCCAGAACAATGGCTCATGATTGGAATCAAGTTCAGAGTCTTCCGTGTTTGCGAGTTGCTAGGTATACTTAAGATAGAGCATAATTTAACTGTGAAGTATAATGGGGAAGGGCAGCCCTGGGAAGCTGGCCTCAGGGAAGCATTCAGATGAAGCTCATCCAAATGCCAGTGAGCTTCTCCATTCAGTGAGATCTCCTGCTCCTGGGGGATGAGGGGAGAGACGAGACATTCAGTATTGAAGAAAGGAGCTGACTCTCTCCCTATCCTTTATAAACCCACAACTTCCCCCACAGTTGTTTATCATTATTGATCTGGACTCTCGTTCCAACCACAAGAACTAAGGGAAAGTGTAGCAGCTCAGGATGAAGCACTCTATAGGTTGGCCTTTCAGTACGTGCTGACCAATGAGATAGGGGGTGCCAATCCCCCTGCCCGGGCACCAAGAGAGCATGAAACTGGTGGGAGTGTGTACAGTGAACTCTCCATCCCACACGAGCAGGTGACTGTCCCTTTCTCCTCATCAAACCCTCCCTGGTCACTGCTGTCCATTGGCAGTTCTGCTGTTTGTTAATACCTCTGATGTAAGGTGGGGAGATATGGAGAGAGAAAATGATGTTAGACAGCATTCCTTGTTAGCAATGTTTAAAAAGAGGCTTAGGTGAAGCTAAAGGTTGAAGCTAATAACTAGCAAGTTCTGGATCATTGGTTCTCTGCCTCGTTTTTGTGGGGTTTTTTCCTCTTACAATGGAAAATTTCAAAACTACAGAATGTACCCATCATTCAGTTTGAACAATGATCGGTTCATGACCTGTATTATTTCATCTAACCTCTTCTTTGGTTCCCCCTCCCTCCTCCTCGATTATTTTAAAGCAAATCCCAGACATTTTAAGAACAGGTTTGAGAATGCCCTTTTTTAAAAAAAAAAAAATCCTAAAAACTTAGACTCGGCTGCTTAAATTGGGATCATCTTCGCAAAAGTAAAGGAGAAAAACAATCACCGAAGTGCACCGTGTAGCCAGGCAGAAAAATCAATCTACTTAGCGGCCGGAATGATTGGCTCATGTGGTCCTGCTCACCAGTGCCTTGACCTCACCCCTTATGCCCTTGTTTGTGCCCTCCTCAGGCACCCCCATCGAATGGGTCCTTTAGTTGGGACGTCACTGTAAATGCTAAAACAGCCGTTCCTTTGGCTGTTTAACCTTAGAGTCTAGAAAATTCAATCCAAGTGTAAAGAAGCCTGTGTGTCTCCTTTGAGATAGTGTGTGGACGGAGTGTTCTTAACGCCATCCTACCTGACAAATGAGATGAGGAGAGAGTCCAGCCAGGCCCATGAGAACAGAGGGACTGAACACTTAAGAGACTAACAAAACCCTGATTTTTCTGTTTCCTTCCCCTACACAAACCTAGGTTCTACAGGGACCAGATAACCAGCTACTATGATCGTTTGTCGATGAAAATACATGAGGCATGGTGTCATAACCAGATCCCAAAGTTTAATGGAATAAACAGAAGATCTCCATCTTCTGACATGGACCATCACCCAGCCAGATGCAGGATAAGATCAAAATAGGAAAATGGAACCCTAGAGTAAGAATCAGATAGCTTCTGGCAGGTGAATTGGACATGCTCAATGTTGTGTAACACCATGAACTTCAAACAATGGCTGCCAAGAACCCTCTCTGGGTTATTTGTTCTCTTTTCCCCATTAATAATTCAGGGTCCATGGGGATATAAGATTGCAGGCCTATAAGAAAACCTTCTCACACCTGGTTCGCTTTATTCCAAAAGCAAGGAAGTGTTTACCTGAATTGTCCTTTTCTCCATCACTAGACAAAAAAGAAGTGGGGAAAATCGGAGAGAGGTGGATTTATATCATGCTGTGCCAACCAACATTTAATTTGCCCAATTTTCAAAATTTGAAACACGGGCAATTTTTCTATGATTTGGATAAAGGCACTTACAGTGTTTACTGAAAGATGTATGCACTTGGAAGTGTTCAATATAGAATTTCCCCGTGTGATGGTTTGGATGAATGTCCTTAAATATTTATGACTCAGTAATAGAAATTGCACGAATTTGTAAAAGTATAATGTGTTGCCTCAATTTGTGCAATTTTCCCTTTTCACTTTTTGAAAGGCATAAGAGAACAATCCTCCATTACCTTAAAAAGTAAAAGATGACACACAAAGAACTCTGGATTAGACAGAGGCAATTAAGAA